GACTAGCAACACTTCGTCCAGGGCCGACATGTGGTACCTCGTCAATACCGGCCGAAGCGACTTCAATGTGAGGAGCGACCTCCTTCGAGGGCTTGCCGACCTGATTGAGGTCCAGGAGGTGACCTGCGAGACGTGCTCGCCAATAAATTCTGCATGCATCTCATCACTCTTGAGTCTCTCGGAAGTCAACTCTTACACCGAATGTTTTGGAGGAAACCGAGTAAGGTGCAAAGATTGGCCTATGTGCACAACTACCTCCGAGGACTTTGGAGCAGTTAGGCACGTCTTTCCGGAGATCCCGAACGCATTGCGTGATGCCCACGCCAAACAATGCCTATATAAAGGCCTTACCTCCAACATCAAAAAGGACATGCGCAATTTAGTTCTCGTAACACTCTAGCTCTCTGACTTTCAGCTCTCTCACAATATACTTATTTTGAATATTTAGGGTTTGGACTAAATTAATGGTTTTTAGGTTTTCAAAATATGTTAGAAAATAAAATTGAAAGGTTGTGGATTGGATCGGGTCAAAATTAGGTTGAGCCATATTGAATTGGGTAAGGTTAAAAAATGCATGTTATTGAGTTGGTTTGAGTCAAGTTACATGAAAACATTGGAAATAATCGGATAAGCCTTCAGGCAAACCCAGACCGATCTACGCCTATAATGGCATCCTAACTACAATAGTAGTCCTTCAAGGTTAATTAATTAGTTAACTAATAATAATTAAAAGTTTTAGTTAATAAAAACAATTTAAATATTTAATCATTTAAAATATTCATCAATATAAATATTTTATAAAGTATAATTATTTTCAAATTAACTAAAACTTAAGTTTACAATTAATTCATTTCATAACTAATTGATAAAAGTTTTAAAATTAAATAAAAATTAAAGAAATAATAATAATAATAATAACAGTAATATAATAACAATAATAATTTTAGAGATAGTAGACATTTGGTGTCGTTTAACATAAATGTCATTAAAAGTTACGCTTTTTGTGGGAAAGACTTTAGTGACGTTTGTTGTAAACGTCGTCAAAACATAAATGAAATAATGAAAGAAACGTCATTTAACAACAGTTATTTGTAACCGTTGCAACAAATTTTTTTTTTCCACAATTAGTATTCACGTCACGGAAAAGTGGTCTTCTGCAACGCTTTATTTAAACGTCGTAAAACAAACGTCGCAAATTCTGAATTTTGTTTTAGTGATAAAAGTGATAAATTCTTTGATTAATAATCACAGTTGGAACTATGCTACTTTAAATGGATATTTAGGAAGAAATTAAAGTACGATAGTACAATAGATAAATTCAAGACTAGATTAATTATCAAATATTGTAGACAAAAGAAAAATATAGACTTCTTTTATATATATTCCCTAGTTACAAGGTTAACTACAATTAAAGTTCTATTTGCTATAGCATCCATATACAAACTCATGATTCCAAGTAGGAAACAAAGACGAAATACTCCAAAACAAAAGAATTACTAAGGAACTGGTGGGTTAGGTTGGTTAGTAAATTAATTAGTTATGACAAAAAGGAAAGATTGAAGGAGTTTGATTTTACCCATACTATGTAATATAATCTGTCATACCTAAATGCTGATTGAAGTCCAAAAGACATCAACATGAATATTTCTCTCACCTCAATACTCAAATTATTCTTGTATTTTAAATCTTGTGGTGGGGCTGGGAGGGGGGGTTATTAGATTCTTGTTTTATAAGATTCAAATTACAAGAATCTGAACTCCCTTCTTTTGTCTTTTACTTTTGTCTTTATTGAATTTGTTTTTTGTCCTCTTATAAGCATGGGAAAGACTTCTTATCCCACATTGCTAGGGAAAATGGGCTTAAATATATTACTAGACTTGCTATCTCTATGGGTAGGGACCCTAGGAAGATATACACTATATATCATTCACATGCTTGTGGGGGGCGGGGTGCTTTTTCAGACATGTACACCGGGCTGAGCTGGGCCGGTTCGAGTTGGGACGTAGATGTGCACCATACCATATTGTTTTCTTCTTTGACCGTTTTGACTATTTGTTTTCAAATTGTTTGGACCATTTAAATTTTGTTTTTATTTTAAATGTTCCTTTTTGTACCTTTTTGTTTTCTAGCTCTATGTGTCCTTTTTGAAAATATTCCTTGCACACTATTTTGGAGAGATATCTTTCTAAAAGGACACTTTTGTGTTCGTTTGGGTGACTGAGAGAATTCTATAAATCGAGTGTTAACCAATCTGGTGGAACAAAACAACTCACATACCACATTCTCCATTGTCCATTGCCTGGCATCATATTTGAACATCTTTCTTTGGTGGTTCACAGAGGTTTGCAAGTGAGTGGACGTCTACTAGGAAGCCTATAGGTTGTCTCATCTTGAAAAGTGTTTTGCAATCACCCGACTACACCATAGGAAACAAATGTGGCTTTAAGGAGAGTGACCAAGTGACATGATTCAGTTTGTTTCAGGTTCGGAAAGCATAAAATGATAAGTTTCATTCTCCCTTCTAATTGATATTTTTGTAACAAACACATTTTTAGGCTTTTCTATCAGAAAGATATTTGATTTATTTATAATCAAATTCTAATATTGAAATTGGATATTAAAAAGCATTAAAAAATTAAGCTAAAAATAATCCAATTTTATATATTATTGATAATATGAACAAAAACTAACTTTAATGTTGTATTTAGTGTTTTCAACCCATCATTAACCTAACTAGTTGGATTATTGGACTTATCACCTGATCATGATTCCGGTTTGGGTCAACTTTAAACCCACTATTAC